CTAAGCAATATTTTAAGAACAAGATGATGAATACTTAATCTCACTATGGGTTGTGAAACTTGAGACAAATGCGTGAAGTTAAAAGATATTTTAAAGTCACATTTGTAAGGCTTTGAGACTGATTTGTTCTAGTTCCAAAATCGTGAAGAATAAAAAATGGCTGTATGTAGTTTTGAACCTAGCAGAGTGGTGGAATCTGAAAGCAAACAAGTGAATTTTAGTTAGACACCTATTTGGGATATTTTGTTTGTTTCAGGAAAGTTGAATGTAAATAGTATGTTTTTTTTCTTGAAGTAGTCTTTGATAGAAGCATAAGTAAGAATCTAAAACTGAAACTATAGATCCTTGATTGCAATAGAGGAGATAATTTCACTTTCATCCTCACAGGAGAGAAAAATGAAGCAGTTACCAGAAAAAGTCATTGAGAGGCATTGTAGTAAGTGTGCAGGATCTGGAGCAAGACCTCCAGGATTCAAGTCCTGGCTTTTTAAATTACCAACTGGGTATTTGGGAGCAAGTTGTTTTGTTTCTCTGTACCTCAATTTCTTTACCTATAAGGTGGGGATATAATAGTAATCTTTTATATAAGGATATTCTGAGTATTAACTGAGTAAAACTATACCTTGTTCCTAGTAGCCACTCTTTATAAACCATAGAGACAAAAAGGAAATCAGTAATCTTTTCTGTCAGAAAATAAGGAGAAAAAGTATGAAGAAAGATATCAAAAAAACAGGATCAAATATCCAGAGAAAAATACGAGAATAGGTAACTTTTTAAAACAGGAAATTATTGGAGATTTTAAAAGTTAGTTTCAGTCACATGGTGAGAGCAAAGTCATTATTTCCTAAAGGTAAAGAGGCTGGTTAGGTTAAAAGAAAAAATGGTATGAAGTGTGGAAACTGCTGATTTGAAATTTTGGATATACAAAGGAGAAAAATGCAAGTTAGATCAAAGAGGCTCACATAACCCCTGCTACTCAAGAGGGCTGGTTTTATGTTAGAGAGTAAAAAGGAGCTTGAAAAGGCAGAGAAATCTGAGATGGGATTACTGAGGGAACTAGATGACTCAGGAGCAGTGGAAAGATTTAGGTTAGGGTGTTAAGGCCTAGCCTGTGAAGAGTCTGAGTAGGAGATGAGTTTTGTCTACAGGGGAAAGAATACAAAGGGGTGGGTGGGTTGGAAAACCGGAAAAGCTGCGGCGAGGTCAATTGTGGTAGATAAAGAAGCTCCTTCTGGGAAGCCGTGATTTCTTTTAAGTAATAAAGAATGCTCGTTGGACGGAAGATGAAATACATGGGATTGAATGGCCGAAGCGAAGGAGAAAGTGTAGAATAACAATTATGAGGAAAATAAGCTGTGGGGTAGGAGTATGTTGTGAAAGGCCTGCTGAAATTGGGTGACACAAGTTTCTATTCGGGCTTAGTAGCTCCGGGGAGCTCAGACATTGGGAGAAGGGGGATACCTGTCAGGAGGCAACACCAAAGTTGGTCATTCCATATTTAAAATGTTTATCCCTTTTTTTTCATAGAGCAGTAGGCAGATTTATTTAACAGAACTTGAAACGGGTTTGGGAAGGTGATTATTTAAGTAATGTTACTGAATCAGCCAGTGATAGATTCCAAATTACATTTGCGATTTGTTGCTCATTGCTGTGGTCACTATACCTCTAAACATCAGAAGTTCTTGACAGTCTATTACTGTAGATTTGCTTGAAAGTAAGCAAATTATATATTTTAGAGTTTATTTATAGTCATGTTCTTTGTTCCAGCAAAACTGTCACTTGTTAACAAGAATACACTTTATAATTTATAATTACTTTTCAGTTCTATTCCCCAAAGCCTAGTTATATCTATACTTAACTAAATGCCCGTTGTTAAATCTTGAATTTTTAAAAACTGTACTTTGAAAAATACACTATTTTAAAATTATAAAATACTTCAAATTTTTCTGCAGTAAGTAATTCAGCCTTCAGTGTTTAAAGCAGAATCTTTAAACAGCCATTTAACTCATGTAAACAAAAATACTATTTTCCATTTAAAAGTAAAATTGTGATTTTAAAAATGACTGCCCTTTATAATCACTATTCGATAAATTAAAAATAAATAAATTTTAGAGGAGTGTGTTTCCTTTGGAAATGTTCTTTATAATAGATATTTTAATATATTGTTACTATATGGATATTTAGTTACATCTTCATGATATATATCAGAAATTTTACTAAATGATTTTTAACTTGAAACCACTGAACTTGAAGTCTGTGTAGTAAGTAGGATTAAACATTTTTTTTATAAAATATTAGGGAAACAAACATACTGTGCATTTATACTGTATACTGAAATATTTCTTTTGGATTTTTCTGTTCTATTTTTCCATGTGGTTGAGAACAACTGTCAAAGCTGCTTAATCAATAGAACCTTATAAATTAAAGGCATTTCTTTAATATATTTACAACTAACTGTTTATTAGAAGAGTTTTTGCAAGTAGTATTTAAAAGATGAACTGAAATGTAGGCTTTCTGGGATCTGTTATAATTTGTAAAGGGAGGAGACTTTTTAGTTTAACAGTAACTATATGAATAATAGCTAGAAAACTAATCATGTATTTATTTTATTACATGTTCATTATTTTAGGAATTTAAACCAAGAAAATATATTTAGAGACAATTTACTGTAATATTTTAACAGTTTTATCCCTTGAAGCCCAAACTTACATAATTTTTACCGATTTACTTAAAATGTTGAACTTAACTTCTTATGTTTAGTAACCAAATCTTTAGTGATTTTTTTAAACACACTATTATTATCCCAGAAGTTTAAAATTATTGTTTTTATTTCTGTAGTAAAGAAAGAGCATTAAAATTAAGGACAATCTCGATGAGTTGTATCAATTATTAATAATACATGCCTAATATTTCATATATATGCCAAGCAAAAAGAAAGATATTAAGTAAATTGATAGAAAATAATATTAATGTAAGTGCCTACGAATTCTGAGCCACTTGATATTACTATTTTTTCCACATAGTTCTTTGTAATATTTCAAGACCTTGTTGAGAATTCATATCCAGGGCAAGGTAGATGTCATAGTGAACCTGTGGTACTTCAGGTCAATTTTACCCTGTTAGAAATAGGGGAGCCCAACACACATACTCGTGCTTCTGTAGGTTAATGAACTTAGACTCTAACCTATATTGGAAGAAATGGCCTCTTGGTTTATTTCACATCTATTTAGTCAGCCTCCTCATAATTGTACAAGATTTCTACAGAACATATTTTTAAATGTGTGCTAACTACTCACAGGAATTCTCTGCAATAAAAGTTGTAACCAGAGATGAGAAAATAAAACCTTTACTGTTCAATTCATAGTAGCATGAAGCTAGTATCATAAGTCCTAGCATAGTATTGCAAGGAAAAGACACTATTAGGGCAAATTTTAATGGTGGAAAATTAAAGTCTCTCTTGAGAGATGAAAGGAATTTATTACAAAGAACAAAAGCAGAAAGAGGATTTAAAGATTTTTTTTCTTCTTTTATAAGGTTTTACTTTTGAATGGTATCTCCTGTCCCCTTTTTAAATATGATTTAAGAAAAACCTTGGTGTGACTCAACATTAAGTCTAGTTTTCCTCAAAGTATCTGAGGTTTCTTTTTCAACTTAGGAAGAACTAGGAATCCCTTGAGGAGGGACTGTTTAAAGCATGATCTAATATTACAAGCAACCTTACTTTGTTTTTGGAGAACAGAGAGTTAAGCAGGAGCCTGTGAATTTCTTATCTTTTCTTTTACTCTTAACTGCTTTATTCTACCCAGATTAGAACTTTTGAATTTAAATGCATGACTATGTCTATATTAAGTAATTTCATCTACTTTTCCTGACACTGCTGAACCTTTAAAGTTATGCTTTTGCTCATATCTGAGTAATTTTGATGAATATGTATGAATATAAAACAATGTTCATTAGAATTGTGTCTATACTATAAAATTACCCTATTTCACCTATTAAGAAATACTATCTGCTGAGGGTGCTACTTAAGCAATGCTATTTGCTGAGTGAAAATATACTTTAAAAAAAAAAAAAACTTAACATTTTATACTTTAAGGTTACTCTTTTAGACATGAGAAGTTTGAGTATATTTTAATGACTTATTCAACAAATATGCTCTCACAAAGCATATTTTATATGTAGTATATATGTGTGTTTAGAAGTGAATGAAACAATTAATATGATTCCTAATATTTTTGTGCTTATTTTCAACACAGGCTGATGATACCACAATATATCGTACCCTTCATCTATATTAAATTTTTAATGTTCAGCATAAATGATGAAAATATTATGGCAGTTTGTTAAAATGCTATTAGTTACTTGTTTATTAATATGAAGTTAATGTTTACATTTTCAGACGAGCTCTAAATTTATTAAAAATTAATATTTTAGAAGATAATGTGATATTAAGAACTCAGAAGTGCAAATTTAATTACTTTTAAGTATGGATCCCTAAATTCATGTGGAATCAACTTGTTGGTGATGTTCAACATATTAAGTAGGTGGATACTTCTATGCCAAAGTAAACTTCATTTCACCACTTCTTCCAATCCCCGACTGTATTCATCGATAGAAAAATAACTCTTTCAGTTTTACTCATTGAATTTCTTGAATTTTTGTTTTCACATCTCTTTTCCCCCAAGACAACAAAGGGAAAGAAAAGAGACTACTATTCATGAATATGGTCAGGATACCTTTAATACTCATGTGAATTTTTATCAGTCACCATCATGATTTCAAGTCATGAATTTATTTTTACATGCTTATTATGCATGCATATTTACGTGCATTAGTTATTTAATTGATCTTAAATTCCATTAAATTCGAATTAATAGGAGAAGAATTTGTTCACAGGATTTTGTTCTCGTTATATTACATTTTATTTTATTTTGTTTTATTTGAATAATCAGTTTAAGGCTTATAAAGGTTGATTTGCTCCTGAACTGCTTTGTTCCCAGACATTGCCATCTTCCCCAACTACCACCAAGTCCTCTCCATCTGATCCCATGACCACCTCCAGAGCTAATCAGGTACAGTATCATCCTGTCATCTACACCATACTTTTCACGAGTGAATGCTGCACACTGGAGAAAAAGATAATGGTGGGTTAAGGATGTATTCGTTCATTCACATATGTGCACCACGACCAGATTCCAGATAACCTGAGAAAGAAATATGAATACTTTCTGAAAAGTTATATGCATTTTTAACTTTAGATAACAAAAATATATTCAGGTGGTAGACTACTAGAATTTTGGGTTTTCCCCTTAAAATTATGATGACTTTATGGAGTTCTGAGGGTTATTTATTGAGTTGGTGTTTATGATCTCCCTTATTGTTTCTTCCTAGGGTTCTTGGTATATAACTTAAGAATATCATATATGTAAAAAAAAAATGTTTAAATATGACTTATTGAGCAAAGGTATATCTTTAAAAGTGAATGCATTTTCATTTGCTTTTTATTTCAGACATTCCTTACTATGTAAACAATTTTAAATTTTGGATGAAAAGCATTTGTAGCAATCTAAAAGTAACTGAAAATTGCTATTTGTGATCATTTGGATGCTAATTAACAACTCAGGAAATGTTACTGTCTTATAATTTAATACTAGCATTTTCTTTGGTGGAGTGGCAAACTGCAACTATAAATATATCTTATTAGTTTGATTTAATAATTGTTTTGGCACTGAATATTTGTAGGTCATTCTTTAAAAATGTGGTTAATTTTGGCACATTTAAGTAAATCATCTAAAATATTTATGTAATTCAGTCATACTGTACTATAACTTTATAATTGTTGAAAAATATATTTATTAAAATGATTAAACACATTTTCATTTTGTCTGAGTTGAGCTTCATTTAGGTGAAATATGTTATGTTCTTTAATATTTCTACTTTTTTACTAATACTGGCCTTATGGGATTATTTAAATATTAAATAAAAGCTTATCTTTTAAATATATTTTTTACAGAATTGACTAATAAATCATTAACTTTGAACTATATTTGCTGAATATATTAAGTGTGGCTTTTGCATATCATCTAATATAAAGCTATCAGAATTATTTTGTTCATTATTGATTCTAATACTTTTGCTACCTCAGGAAAATTTTTAAAATAATAACTGGAAGCAAAACTAACAGGATGTTAGGAGCTTGGCTTTTATTGTCTACAATAGCATTCCCTCAGACAAAAATACTTTATAATGCTCACATTTTAGCCCCAATAAATTGGTTTAAAAAGTATCCATCTCTAGTGATGAAACACAGCACTTCTCTTCAAAGGAAATGATACTATATATAAAGTGAGAACATAGCTTGTATTATTGATGTATGAAGTTAAAAAGTTTATATATATATGTATGTGTATATATATATATATACACACACACACATGCTTTATATACCTTATCTATTATGTGAGCTATATGATACAGAAAACTATTGGGAAACAACTGACTGTGTTTTTGATGTTTCTCTTGTACTTCACCTTTCTTTCTAAACAAAAACAAGACAGATGAGTACAACTGCAATGAAAAAAACTAACAAAAAACTAATGCTTTTTCTTACCGTAAAAAGTAAAAAATTCTGGATCTAGAAAGAAAAAGGTTGTCTATGAAGTTAGATTGTATATTCTTCATTTATTTTATATGAACAGGTGAATTTTTATAAAATGATTTCTTTAAAAAGCTAATGTTGAAGGCTATATGTTGAAGTTTACTAACATATTTTCACCCTCTAGATATGTTATTACATCCACCTCTTCCAAAACCTAATATTTTTCTAATTTGAAATAATAAGTCATTTGTGGTTTTCAACTCTGTCTACTATACTCAGTTATATTTATTTTTACGTGACTTTCTTCTGTTCTTGTACAAACAATCATAGTATCTGCTGGAAAACATGTGGCAAAATATAGAACAAACCAAAATCCTTAAAGTCATTGAAGAAATTACAGTTATCATCCATCTTGATGTTGTTAGTAGTTTTATTCCCTACAGTATTTCCCAATAGATTCTATTTGTGTTGTAAGATAGAATGTAATGTGGTTTTTGTTGTTCATAGATCACAGTTGTTTCTTGTGTATAATCCTAATTAAATTAGTGTCAGTTTACTATATAGACTTAGATCTATAAGAGTAACCAGGATAGAAAAATGGGTTCTAATATGATAGTACTAAACTTTGCCTCCATAATTAAAATAGACTTTTAAACCTATAAGAAAATAAATTTTATTGCTGGTTTAAGTTTGCTTTATTCTTACCCGGCAATTTAGCAGACATGTCTCCAGTTTTATAAATGGAAGAAATGGTACAAACTCAGAGCATGCCATTTTAAATTAAAAATTATTGTTTAATGTATTCTAGCTAATATGATACCCTCTGCTGTTAAAAGTAGCTATAAACTTTTTTATGTGAATTTTTATAAACCAGTATAAATTACATCCAGACTGTTTATGTTATTTTCATTTTTGCTAGTTATTTTAGTAACTAAATGAATTATGATTGAGTTCTATTTCCAGAATAGTTTGTCTGTGTTATAAACTAATGTGATAAAAAGAAATTAGGGACTATTAATATTTTAAAAAACCCAAAATAAAAAGAGCAGAAAATACATTGAAGAGTTAGTTTTACCTGTAGTGTCAACATTTAAAAATCTTTTCTATTCTTTTAAAAATAACTGCATGTTTCAATACATACTGAATTTTCTATCCTCAAGTTTCCACAGTTCAAACTGACAGACTATAACTACAATGTTGTGGCTTTATAATAATTTGCCTCTGAAAATTGAAGGACTATCATATGGGAAGCCTTGTAGAATGGATGCTAAAAGTCAAGACTGGAGCCAAATTGCCTGTGGGCACATCCTTGTTCTGCCGCTTGCTTGCCGAGTAAATTGAGTTCAATTTTCCTTTTTTTTTTAAATATATCTTTATTGATTTCAGAGAGAGGAAAGGAGAGGGAGACAGAGAGAGAGGCAGAAACATCAATGATGAGAAAGTCATTGATTAGCTGCAGCCCACAACCCAGGCATGTGCCCTGACTGGGAATCAAACCCTGATCTCCTGGATCCTAGGTCGATGCTCAACCGCTGAGCCACACCCGGCCGGGCCAATTTTCCTTTTTTGAAATTCAAATTATAATAGCACCTTATAGTGTCAAAAAATAAATTCATTAACTAAGAACATTACAATTTCTAGAATGTAATATTCACCACATTAGGGTAGGTTATATATATATATTTTGAAATATCTTTCAAGTAATAATGAAAAAAATTGCCCTTTAGATGCTAAATGATGTATCATACAGAATATTAAAACTGAGTTTTACCTTTAAAGAAAAATTCTAAGACAGTAGTATTGCTTTTTTCCAACTCTAAAATATTTCTGTAATCAGAGTCTCTGTGCTTTTTAAGATAGCTTAAACTACAATTTTTTCTCTCTAGTGAGAGTAGTTACTTGTCCAATTAATAAATCAATACTATTATTTCTTTTTGAGAAAGAAAACTTAGTAAACTAATAGTTTTACAACTTGTACTTTTTTTGATGTGTTGCTTACAGCAAGATGCAAGTTTAACATTTTTTACAGATGGAATTTTAAATGTAAGACAAGTATAAAGATAAGTAGAATTATGTTATTTCAACTGTGTTTACACTTACAAAAAAGTGGGTTAGTTTAATTAGTTCTTAGTAGTTGATACTAAATTTTTCAGTCACTTCAAGATTCAACAAAATGGTTTTTTTAATTAATCAATGATGCTAAAAACTAAATTTCAGACATAATTTTCAGTTCTTGGTTGTTAACATTCCTGGGATTCTTCTCAAATTTCAGGAAAAGATTAAAAAAAAGTGATTTTAGAAATATGTGCTTTATGACATTTATTTATGTACTGATAAATTTTTAATTATATATCAAAATATATAAAAACAAATGAAATATAGGAAACTCATATATAGTACCCTTGTTATAGTAACAGAAAAACACAAATAAAATCACTGGTCTCACTTTATTTTTTTTACTGGTCTCACTTTAAATTCATGACCACAGATCTCAAATGGGCCCTTAATGCTGTCAGATAATCATAAGCCCATTCCCTATTTTACTCTCTATTTCATAAGTTCTCCTTTCGATCTTTGTATTAATTTTCTGTTGCTGTGTAACAAATTACCACAAATATAGTGGCTTAAACAGCACCTCTTTATTATCTCATAGTTTCCATGGGTCAGGAGTCTGGGGACCACTTAGCTGTGTCCACTGCTCATGGTCTTACAGGACTGCTATCAAATTATTGGCTGGGGTACATTCTCAACTAGAAGCTTGACTAGAGACAATCCTCTTAAATTCATCCAGGCTGATGGCAACATTCAGTTCCTTGTGGCTGTACGACTGAGGGCCCAACTTCTTACTGGCTGTTAAGAGGCAACTCTCAGATTCTAGAGGCTGCCCAAGCTCCCTGCCATGTGACCCTCTCTCTACAGGCTCTTCACACCTTGGCTGGTTGCTGTTGCAGAGCTAGCGGAGACTCTTTTCAGTGTGTGCTAGTAAGATGGAGTCTTATATATTGAACCTAATCACGGGCGTAATTTCTCATGTCCTTTACCATAACCATAACCACAGTAGTGACATTCTATCCCTTTGCCATATTCTGTTGATTAGAATCAAGTCAGTTTACACCTGTGCCCAAATGGAGGATATCGTACCACCAAGGGGCCATCTAAGAATTGTCCCTACCACAACTCCCCATTATTTCTTGCTTCCTCCTCTCTCCCAGCTGATGATTATTCCTACTTCACGGAGAAAACATGAAGCAATCAAAAAATAGAAACTTTCACAAACTCACACCAACACATACGTTTAATCAGCCAGCATTTATACCCAGGTATTCCACCTTCTCATCTGTTACCATTGGTAAACTTTCCCTGCTCCTATCGAAAACCAGTAATTTTTGTTGTACAATAAACCTTGTCCTATTTCTCTTACTCAAAGATATCCTTCAGCAATTCTACCTTCTCTGGTCTTTATCTGTCAAGCTT